CACACAAAATGCATATCACAATATTCCACGTGTGAAAACACAAGAGGCATATTTCAGGAACTCATCACACAACTAATTTACCACCCATTCACAACCCCGCCGCAACGTAATCTGTAGCCTCTGTAAGTAGCGCATGAGATTACGGCAACTGTGAATCACGACACTCAAGGACAAACAGATAGGAGTCTCAGCTGACAGGTACAGTGCATGGACCCGCTAGAAGACCACAGTTATGTCGGGCCATTATCTCCGTAACCATTCAACTTTGGACATAGGTGTTTTGGGTTATATCGGCATACTTTAACATAGGGAACACCCTCCCGAAGTTTGGTCCATTCCTCCTGGGACACCCTGTATATACACACACACACACACATATACATAGGAAGCTCAGTGTAGAAGGAGAATTAGTAACACTGTGATTACAGCAAGTGTTTTGACTGGTAATGAGTGTGTGACTCTCTGATATGATGAGTCTTTTGCATAGTTTACAAACATTTTGATTGGTATGTCAATAATTAAAGGTTCTGCTTGTTCAGACTTGCTGTCATTGAGCTTGAATCCTGTTATTCTTGTTGTGAAGTATATATTCAACAGTGAGATTTTCTAAGTGGCATATAAGAGGAATCAGCATTTGATTCCCAGAAGGGGCAAGAGATTTTCTTTTTCTCTCCTCCACTGCTTGTCTCTCGGCCAGCTTCTTATCTGCTGAAAATTGTTTGTGGCATCTTCTTGGTGGGAGGAATATGAGTGGCTGGGGCCTGAAGCAACCACTCATCTTCATATAGTGGCAGGGATAAGTATGTGTGGAACTGTAGCCCCACTTCCCCATTCATCTTCATGGTGTGCTGATTTGAGCACAAAAACAAATTTACTTTACCTTTATTTTATATAAGGAAGGAGGAGGTGGGATAGCTTACTTGGTATAGTGACAGGCTGTGGGCTGAATGGGTGGGGTTCAATTGTAAGTAGGGTAAGGAGATTTTTCCCTTCTCCAAAGTGTTCAGACCAGCTCTGGGGTCCCATAAATAGGAGGATAATATTAAAGTGGTTCTTATGACCCAGAAAGAAAGAGACCACTAGGATGACAAAGACATAGATGGATGGATAATATTAAAATGGATCTGAGAGAGATAGGATGATGTGGTATGGACTAGATTGATCTGGCTGAGAATAGGGACCAGTGAAGCTTTCTTGAGAACACGGTAATGAACCTTTGGGTTCCATAAAATGCTGGGAAGTTCTTGAGTAGATGTACAGGCTGGGGTGCAGAAACTTCCTTTTTGTGAAGATGCATTGTGAAGGGAGGGGAGATCGCAGAAAAGTGGGGATACGCTCAGCGAATGCAGCAGTCGCGGAAGTTTCTGTCTGATACCCTCAATAGGAAACATGAGGTGGACGAGTGAGCAGCGTGCGTTTGCTGTCGAAGCCTATTTTTCGAACAACCATTCCTACGTGGCGGTGCAGTGTGTGTTCCATACTCACTTTGGAATTAAGCCCAGAGATCCGGTTCCCAACCGGAAATTGATTGTTTTGTGGGTAGAGAACTTTAGGACAACCGGGAGTGTTGTGAAAAATCATCAGGATGACAACGGACCATTATGACACGAGAAAATGTGGAGGCAGTTTGACAGTCGATTTTGAGATCTCCAAGATGCTCCGCTCGCAAACATGCAGTCGCCCTAGACATATCCAATTGTTCAGTGCACCGAATTCTTCACGAACATCTTCATTTCCATCCCTATAAGATGGTTGTTTACAAGAATTGTCACCACGCGATTTCCACAACCGAATAACGGCGTGTGAAATGTTATTGGAAACTTTACCCCTTGACGCACTTGTTTTCTTTAGTGATGAGGCACATTTTCACCTATCCGGATATGTCAACAAGCAGAACATGCGCTATTGGAGTGGTAACAGTCCCAGAGAGCTCCATGAGAGGCTGCTTCACAGTGATAAGGTGACAGTATGGTGTGCGTTGTCGAGAGTTGTAGTTACTGGCCCCTATTTTTTGAAGAAGACAATCATGCAGTTACTGTCAATTCACAGTGGTTTGTGGACATGATTAAAAACTTTTTCGAACCAGCTCTTGAAGAAATGCATCTAGGAACTGGTTCCAACAGGATGGTGCCATGGCCCACGCAGCCCGAGCTTCGATGACAGTTTTAAGGGCAAAGTTCCCTGGACGGCTCATCTCGCTTCGAGGTGACATGCCATAGGCAGCACACTCACCTGATCTAATGTTTTTTTATGGGGATACCTCAAGGCAGAGCTTTTTAAACATCACCCCACAAACCTTCTTCAGCTGAAGAATGTTATTCGGCATGAAGTAGCCCAAATTCCGGTGCACATGTTGGAATGTGCAGAGGGGAACTTCAGAAAACGGTTGCATCAGTGCACAGAGAACGGTGGCAACCACGTTCAAGATATTTTGTTTAAAACTACATGATTTAAAACTTTAAAGAATATTCTTTCATTAGCTAAACATAAATTTTGTCCTATCAGCAATAATTTTTCTTTTATTTGCCTTCAAAAAAAGGAAGTTTCTGCGCCCCACCCTGTACAACTAGCGGCTTCTCAAGAAGGGCTCAGCTCCATGAAGTTAGTTAGATACTCCAATCAGTAAGTGCTCATAAACAAGAAGAAATATTGGCATGTGTGCTCTCTGGCTTGCTGCAGTATAAGTATAGAGCCCTTTGAAGTTTGTCTCTTCTCAGCTTTGTGACTCAAGGATAGACATGTTTGTGCAATTATAATGAAGTAGTATAAGACTTTTGATTAAGATATTACTGCCATGCCTCACATTTCCATGTTTGGGTGATGTCACCATGATGTGATTTCTGTGACACCAAAAAATGCACTTGCAAGTCTCAACAACCATAGCAGCTTGAAGGCTGTGGTCATGTACACATGTTGTGAAAATGATATTGCTGAGTGGAAAACTTACTGGGATGCCTTGAATGGCTTTGAAGTAAGAGCAAATAATTATTTCCTTCATTAGTATGTAATGATAAATTAAAGGAGTGAATTTTCTTAATAAGTTATTTTAAGTGTTTAAATATGTGCATGGCATCTGTTTTGTAAAATGTACATCTTATAACTTGAAAATGCTTGAATTTTTACCAAATGTCAGCTCATTTTTGTAGAATTATACAAGAAAATTATATGAGATAGGCATAAGTTACAAATTTGATGGTATGTTCTGTACAGTGCCAAGCCACCGTGGTAGGTTTCCTTGCATCATTGGCAGCAATGATAATGGGCTGGGTTCCTGAAGGAAAATTTGATGTGGCTCATGGTCTTCTCCTCTGTGCCAGTAGTCTTGTTACCGCGTCACTTGCGAGCTTCGTGCTTGGTGAGAAACTGAAACAAATTATTATGCCTTTGACATTTAGCTGTTTGGTCTTTTAACATTGTCAGCATATAATATTTTATTTAGAAATTGGGAACTTTATTTTGGTCTTTTTATCTTCTAAAAAGTTACATTCATTTTAGTTGGCTGGACATTGAACCTCTTGAATTTTGTAAGGATCAACAGATCTATATATTCATAACAGTGATATGAAGTTGCATTGCTTCTAGTTAAAATCCTTAGATGGAGTTCTTGTACAGCTGTAATTGGGAAAAGCTGACATATTTAATAAAGACAGAAATTATGCAATAAATATATTTGACAGAGAAAGCAAAAATATGCATTTCCATTTTAGAGCACATGAAAAGTGAATGTATGTGTTCAACCAGAATTTCTGCTTGCAGTAATATGAGGAATGTACAGACATTTCTCCATACTGCAGTTGACTTGTCTGATGGTCTTTTAAATTAGAAATTATTCATAGTTCTTGAAAACAGGTTTTTACATTCCAGACTCCCCACCTCCCCCTGCCTAAAGAATATAGGTGTCCAGGATATGTTTTAAGGTCTTTACTGAAACTTATAAGCTAATGGCTTTTGCAATTTAACCTTTGCTGCTCAGTTTAAATTCATTGTATCCTTATTCAGTCAAGCCACTTAATAACAAATTACTTCAGTATACTAAGTTTTAGTGTGCCTGGTAACAGACATAAATTTTATTTTGTTGTGATGCATTAAGAGACATTTGATTGGTCTTTGATCACATGTGCCATCTGGATTTTACACAATCATCATGCACATCTTTCTCAACACGTTATATCACTCAGTCTCTTTCGCCCTTGCTGTGTTCACAGCACATTCAATCTCTTCCTGCATCTTCATATTTCCTGAGGAACTGTTTCCTCAAGCAACTCATCACTGCTGTTGGAAACATATGAGTATTGCTAGGTCTGTCATTGTTTTTGGTTAAATTGGAGGTAATATAGAGGATGGATGCAAGTGAGTGTGTTGCTACTATTGTCCAGCAGTGGTGAGGAGAATCTACAAATTGAGGGATGCTGTCAAGAAAAGTGCAATTCTGGCGAAACATATAGATAGAACTTAATGAGAAGAGTGCCTTAAACCAGAAAAGTATCCACTATAAATCATCATGTTTGTACAAAGATATCTAGAGAAGAAAGAAGTTTCCTTGTTAAAGTGGGTGCTTTGAGTCTCTCAGAAAGTTCTTTAATGTTTGTGATTTGAAACTTAATGGGGAAGCAGGAAATGCTAATGAAGAGGCTTCAACTAGAAGAAGAGTGTGTGCAAAGGACAGTAGGACAGTGACAAACAGGAGGTCAGTACAGATGAATCTGAGCTCTTTTGGAAATGGTGACAAAAATTATCTCCCATGAAGGAAAGATGGGTTCTGAATTTAGGTTCTCAAAGCACAGGCAACACACTATTATTCTATAATGATACTGAAGGAGACTGCAGGATGAAAACATTTTTAAATTATCCTGGTGAAACCCTATATATGCTGAATGGCTATTTGAAGTCAGGTAATTGGAAAAGTGACCATAAAGAATGCTTGACACGCTTCTGGTTTGTAGAAGGAACTGCTCTAGAATGGAAATGAGATAATATGGGTACTGCTGACATTGGATAATGCTTGGGCAGTGTAGACTGAGAATTATTATTTCTTAACATGAGAGTGGTTTCTCTTCCATGAAACATATCATCAGTCTTGCAGTCACTGACTCAGAAAGGAATAGCCACCTTTAAGGCATAATATTTGTGAAGAGTATTTTCCAAACTCATAAAGGAAACCTGTAGTGATGATAGGCAAATTTTGAGGGGGGTTAGAAATCATGTGCAACTTCAACATCTTCCCCGCTGTGGATATCTTGGTCTGTCTTAGAATGATGTAACTCTGTATTGAATGAATTGTATGTTGAAGAGCATGCTGCCACAGTTTGTCTGCAACACTAAAATGTCTGAGACTCCCTGGCAAAGGATATGGGATTATTGTCATTGGTGATGAAAGTGTAAATGTACTACAGGGCGTTCAGTGATCGAGGAAACCTTGCAGCAGGATAGAGGAGACATGACATTTCTCACATATTGCTGTTGTAACTGCCGATAGCAGAATGAGTCATTAGCACTGATAAATGCATGCACTCTCACTAGCATAGAGTGGATGGAACGTTTCTCTGCGACTACTGTGCCCTTCCCCACTAGTGAGGGTTCAGTCATGTCGCTGAGTCCCTCACATCAGTTTCTATACATGCACACATTTATAGGAATACTGTAAAAAGATAACACAAACTTACTGTGCTTTATAACAGATGCTGGAAGTGACCCCCTTCTGCTTGCAAACTTGTCTTGCAGCACATAAATAAATTACGTGACACTTTCTGAAGTTGGTCCACAGCAATTGAACCAATTACACGTGTAATGTCATTCTTCAGAGCTTCAGTGGTGCGAAGATTATTCTTGTAGACTTTTCCCTCTAGGTTTCACCAAAGATAAAAATCACAAAAACTGAGATCTGGGAGGCCACAGTCTCCTGCTGATTATTGTCTTGAAACACTTCCTGTATTGCGACCATGGATGCATTAGCTGTAGGTGCTGTAGCGTTGTCTTGCTGAAAATACCCATATTGTCTTTCTTCAGCAGTCAGCTGTTTGAAGAACGGATTCAGTATATCATTAACGTAGCGGTTCACGGTTTTGTGGAAAAATAAGGGGCCAGTGATTCGGTGTGGAATTACAGCACACCACACCCCCACCTTTTCACTCTGTGATGGCACTTGCTGTATAGCATGAGGATTTTCATCGCTCCATATTCTTTCATTTTGTGCATTGACATGACCACTAACATGAAGCCACGCTTCATCAGTCATGAACAGAAACTGTGGATCCACGATTCCATCGTACACATTTTGCAGCAACCAGTTGCAAAAAAGAATTCTTGCTGCATAATCTGGTTGCTTCAGCTCATGCGCAACTGTTATTTTATACAGGAAAAATTTGATTAATTTTGTGGCTGTGAGAGCAGTTCCTAGAAAAAAACATCGGTTTCCTGTGCTAAGCGTCTTAATGATTTTCGAGGACTGATCTACAGTCATGCCTCAATATCCTGAACCTTTTCTTCAATCAGCGAATCCTCTTCAATTGCTTCTTTATGTCACACACTGAATCTGTGGCCCACCACTTTTTCACAAGCTTGGATACACACATCTGTGTGGGAACTGGCAAGTGAGGATATTTACGAGGAAAGTTACGAATAGATTTCCTGTATGTTTTTTCCTTGCAAATGTTTCAAGAATAAACATGCTATTCAATAGTAAACTTCATTTTGGTATAGAAAACCCCCCCCCAAAAAGGGGGGGGGTTACATAGAGAGACAGAGAACAAGGTGATCTCATAAGCCTAAAAAATTAGGGGGTAGATGCAAAGACAAATGTGCAGACAGGCAACGAGGTAATCTCATAAGCCTCCTTTTATTTTTCCAAAATAAGGAAAGTAGGCCAAAAAATAGGTTGAAGGCATTTGAGTAGAGGGTATTGAGGAGAATATTTAGAGTTAAGAGGAGGGAAGTAACAGGACTTTGGAGATCATGATGTGTGCTGTGTGTGCTGGTACGATGATCAAATCAAGCATTATGAAGTGGGCGTGACACATAGAATACATGGGAGAGAAGAAAACTCTCACAAAATTTGAGCAGAGACCTGGTGGAGAAGAGACCACTTGTTACATTTAGGCATAGATGGGAAAATTTAGAACTAGAGTGTGATGGTGTGAACTGGGCTTATCTGGCTCGGGCCAGTCTAGTGGCGTGCTTTTGTGAACATGGTAATGAACCTGAAGTGGAGAATTTCTTGACCAGCTGAATGACTTTGCAGGATGGACACTGGTTCATGAAATGATACTTACACTGTGATAGTTAACACCATGACATAATCATAATGCAGACGTGTCATTCATGTAGACTTGCATGTGCCTGTTTCATTGCTGTTTCACCTCCACACATGTACTCCCCCCTCACACGCATGTGCTGTCTCTCTCTCTCTCTGTGCTGTCTTCACTCCTTAGGAGAAAACATTGCAATTGTTCATGCAAAGTAGAACTGTGTGAGCTCAATGCTGTGACTCTAAATCTTCCTTGTTACAGTATTTTGTGCTGTGTTATAGTCATTCTTGGGAGTGTTAAATATTTACTGCAGTTTCATTTTTGTAGTCCGGCATCACATACATTGCTTTGAGGCTTATGAAAATATGAAGAAATCCACTTTGAAGTGTAAACTTGGAAGAATATTCAGTGTGCAGTTGAAACATTTTCTTTTATGTACAGTAGTCTAAATTTGTATTAGCATGTGGCCTTACTCCCTAACATTCTGAAACCAGAACATACTAGACCTCAACCTGATTCAAGTGAACTAGCCCACTTTAGCTCAAATTCCATAAATCTCTTGTACTCTTATTGTTCACTCTACACTTTGTGGATCCATACATAGAAATATTTAAGAGAGGAAAGTGCAATGAAAGGGACACTTAGAAGATTATGTAAGATTTGAGGCTTTCACGGCAGTGACTATGAAGAAAGCAGTCTTCTGGGATTTGGCACCGTGTATATGTGGTGTTAAACACCACATATACATGGTGCAAAATCCCAGAAGACTGCTTTCTTCACTTAGAAGATTGTTCTTCAAATTACGCATCCCTCGAAGTGTTGCTGATTTCTTGTCTTGTTCTTTACCATGCCAGGTCTTGTGATGGTTGCAGTGATTGTGTCTTCACGACACTGTAATATAAATCCTGATAATGTGGCCACACCAATTGCAGCCAGCCTGGGAGACCTCACCACCCTAGCGCTGTTGTCATGGATTGCCTCCTTATTATTTGCAGCCATAGGTATGTTAATCTCATGCCCAGTCTTTCATTGTCTCCAAGAAAACTGGCTCTAGCAGTCACACTTCTGTCTTAGTGAGGTGCCTTGTTTCAATCTTGGCTGGGTCACTGAATATCACAACTAAGGTTTTTTCATGGTGTTCAGTCATTCCAGACAAATGCTAAGATAGTACCTTAAATTAGGCCACAAACCTTCCCTTCCATATCCTTTGAATTCATTATTCACTGTCATCCCATTTTTCAGTGCTACATAATCTGAGTTGGTGATGGCATCATTAAATAACTATAAACAAATTGTCTGCTCTCACAGAAATGAGTGCAAATAACATTGGTATCAAAAGTATGTTTCACAGAACTGAATGTTTCATTGAGAGATCTTAAGGGTTCCCACAGATGAATTTCTCTTTTTCATTCTCCATAATAAAATTGCAGGTAGTTAGAGATGCAGGCATCAAAACAAGGGGAACTGTATTCTACAAGTCAGTTAAAATTTTGGCATTTGCAGATGATATTGATATAATTGGTAGAACACAAAAATCTATGAAAGAAGCTTTTCTTAATTTGGAAAGAGCAGCAAAAAAAGATGAATCTACAAATTAACCAAAATAAAACAAAGTACATGCCCATTTTCAAACTTGATGGGCACCTTCATTCAGAACAATTCATAAACTTCATAACCAGTTTAATAATGATGGTTCAGTGTTGGAGAGGCAATGTCACTGGCCATTGTGCGTTCTCTGGAGAACATTGACGCTGTCAGAGTGGTGCTGCAAAGAAGCCCCAGTAAATCAACAAGGAAGGCTGCAACACAACTAGGGATATCTAGATGATTGGTCCAGTGAATGTTGAAAAGTGATTTGAATTTGTATCCGTACAAGATGTCAGTGCTGCCTAAACTTACAGTTCAAAACAAATATCAAAGAATGGTGTTTGCTGGATGAAATCAGAATAATGAGGTATTGTTTAACAATGTTTGGTTTTCTGATGAGACACATCCACTTGGATGGTGTGGTTAATAAACAAAATGTGCGATTTGGGGCTTCAGAGAATCCACATGGCATTCATGAAAAGGTACATCGTGCACTGATAATTACAGTGTGGGTTGCCATCTCAACTTATGGACTGCTAGGGTCAATTTTCTTTGAAGTTACATTGAACAGTGAGCACTATTTAAGCATGTTGCACAATACTGTTGTGGCTCACCTACTTGCTACAGGTTTGCCTCACACAGTGAACGTTGGTTTGGACTTTCTCCAAGACATTTTCAACTCACATGTTAACTGAAACTGATTTCCTGATTGTTTTGCGTGTGGGCAGAACTTGCCCTCAAATAGTCCTGATTTAAACCCATGTGACTACTTTCTTTGGGTAATCCTTAAGGAAAAGATTTTTCTGAAAATGCTGCACACATTAATAGAATTGAGAGCAGTAATTGTTCAGGCCTTCAACGAGACAACTGAGGGTTTGTGCCACCATGTAATCAACAGCATCACTGAAGAAGTTGCCAGACGTAATGGGGGTCATGTTGAACGCTTGATTCACTTATGATAAATCTCCATGCAGTGGTCTTTCTCTTTGTTTGTTATTTTCTAATATTGTAATTGAAATAAAGATTTTATTAATAGATTGAATTGCCAGCAGAATTACTTTATCCCCTTCAGTATTCCCAGAACATTTTCATGATGTACCTTCTATCCCTACTAGAAATACCCTGAGAAACTTTCAGGCCCAGTACTGTACAGTGTCTGTTACATCCTGATATTTCTCTGGGCTTTGTAACAGGTTTTCCATGTAGTTACGTTTCTGAGAAGATGGCACCACCATATTGAATAATTTACACAGTTTTCTTGATGTGCTGGCAGTGTATTCTATGCGTCAGGGTTGACAGAATCACATTTTAAGCCACCACTGAATGGATTAAATGCGTGGACTATATGTTACAGCTAGGCCGTGCCATGGCTCAAGTGGTTAGTCACTGGCTTCCCACCGCGGCAGCCTGGGTTCGATCAAGTGGGATTTGTGGTGGACAAAGTGGTGCTGGAGCAGGTTTTCTCTGAGTACTTCGGTTTCCCCTGCCAATCTTTATTCCACCAATTGCTTCACAATCACCCTCACCTATCATCTGGGGCTGGTACAATACGCCAGAAGTGGCTGCAGTACAAGGGACTTAGTCCCACCCCACTAGCAATAATAAAAAAATATGTTACAGCTGCCCATAGGTGGGACAGTAAAGAATGAAAGTTATGAAGCTGCTTACATATTCTTATTGTTTACTAAAGACTGACATAGCAACTTGTTTTCTCTTAAGACTAGAGGTAGTTGCTGTTTTGTACAAAGAAATATGGAAGATTCTCTGAATCTTCTGATCTGTTATGTTTCGACTATCATTGTATACCACTGAAAATAGGTTGCATAACTTACAAACCATATATTTCTTGACATTAATTTGTTCTTGGGTTGTTGCACCATGTGGTTGTGGGCAATGTTGCCAATAGTTTGGAGCTATATGCAGCCTCTATCGTCATTGTCAAAGTGACTTTGTTGCTGAAGATGGAGGCAGCATGTACCTCCTAAACACCAGCAACATCACCGACAGTCATACAGTACATCAACCCTAGAGCATAACTAATATTGTAACGTGGATGGCCAGAGCGTTGCTGGGTAATGGACCGGTAAACATACGTGATACACGCTGGCAACAGCAACCCGCTTTTAGGTAGTGGTTCAATAAAAAGACTCCCGCACAGGTGCAGTGACATCGCACTGCAATAGTGGTAGCTATCACATAACTGCCTTTCTGTGGAGTCTGTGCCATGATCGTTGCTGTGCAATTACTCAGTAAACATATTCCAACAATATAGGCTGTTTTCTGCATGGTCATTGTGGATGCTATATAACGACAGTTATATTTGTATTTGAGAGTGTTAATATGTTTAAGTGACAGCCATGGGAAGTTTGTCGTGTGAAGACTTGGCGTGTGATTGCAAGACTTAAGTATGTGTAATATTTATAGTGATCTGAAGTGACAATTTCTGTGTGGAGATCCATATGACTAGTAGAAGACAGAGAATCCTAGTGTTTGTGCAACGGTGAACTGGAAGTTGTGTAAATCAGTGATAGCGCTGTATTGCATCTGAACTAGAACCCAACATTTCATCACACGTACCCCCTACACATGACAATATCAATAATTAATTCTTGTGAGAGCCTAAAATCAACTTTTATTTCACAGTATAAAATGTTAAAGCTGTGCATGTCATCATTTTGTTATAGATTAGAGTTGGAAGGCAGGAGCTGCAAAATGAAAAAGAAATGACACTGCAAATGAAACCAAAGAAAAATTGCAAGCATTTAGCAATAAGTGTCATAGTCAGTAAATTAAGCCAAGATCACATGGAAATCACATTACAATTATCATCTTCAGTTAGTGACAGGGACTTGTCATATACTGATTTAAAGTGAATGTGGGAAACTGATTGCAATCCTTGTGGGTGCACTGTGTTGCACTTTCTGAAAATGTACTGAATGATTTTTATATTAATTTTGGATCCCAGGATCAAGTTAATGGCCCCAAAGGTGCTATAGTGACCTTTTGTAAAACCCTTGTTAAAGGTTTTGGTGAATCATAGCACATTTGAACTACTGAAACACATTGTCATGTGTAGGGGTGACTATTGACAGGGTCTGAATTGGATGATTAGATTTATTGACACCTTATTCGCACAATTCAGGGCTATAGGCAATACAGAGCTATCACTGATCTACACAGTTTACAGTTCACGGTTCCACATGCACTAAGGTTCTCAGTCTTCACTAGTTGTATCCTGGCAATGGATTTATAACAGTCTCACTGTCACTTCAAATCATTCATGAAGTCTTCTTTTCACAGTCTAATTCATTTCTTGCCATTTCTTCTCAATCACTTTTGACTGCCATCTCCAAAACTTGACCCATTTCTTGACAACAACTAACTTTGTGCTGCTGAATACTTTGCATGGGTCATGCAGAAAACACAGCCTCTGTTGTTAAGGGGGTGTGTTTATTGATCTTTTGCCAAGCAGTGGACATCCTATTGTTGCTCCCATTTTTCCCACCGGAATGTGTTTACCGAGTCGTTGCCTAGCAGTGGGTGTACATGTCACAATATATTTGAAGAAAATTGGACACAAAGGTAATTAAGCTACAGACACTGGGCACCAAGTTAGTGAAAACCTTAACTTAAGCAGCATTACATAGGATTTCATTGTATCCTTTTGTTCAGAAAATCCATATATTGTTTTCACAACATGTTCGGAGTTTCTAGGTCTCCTCATGGTTCACTACTTAACTTTTCATATTCATCTACCTCATCACTTTTTCTTCTCTCCTAGACTGAAGCATTTATGTGTATATTTAACTCCAGATGAGCGCCAGTGGCTCGCTCCGGTCATCATTGGAATATGTGCACTGCTGACACCAGTGTGGGGTTGGATAGCTGCCAAGAATAAGTACACAAAGGAGGTTCTGGACACAGGGTGGACACCAGTTATATCTGCAATGCTGATTAGCAGGTTAGTGTGGCTTCTCTGCAGTATATATACATGAAAGGAAGCAGCTCATTGAGCTACCCCTATTCTCATTCTGTTGGTTTTAACGTTAGATTACTGGACTGGAGTATGCTTTAGTGTTTCATGCATAAAAAATAATTGGCTGCAACAACTGTTGAAATGATGGCTAACATTAGCACTCAATTTGTAGAAAAGTAAATTGAATAGACTCCTTTAACAGTAATCCTTGCAAGACTACTGAGGAGAACATTTACAAGACAAACACATTTTATAACAAAACCAATACAGAAAAGCTTAAAAATGTACTGTAGTATCCATAGGGACTTCTATGCTTGCAGCTCAATGTTTCACAGAATATCCATTTTGTCAAGCTGTTTTAAAAGAAATTCAGAGTTGGAGCATCAGGGTATTTGTCCAGAAGAGAGCTTCTGATTTCTCTCTTTATTTTTATAGTTCCTTTAAATTTTCCAATATTGGCATCAGTTAAGTGCCATTCATTCTTTGAAAGCTTTGTTGTGCATATGATGTAATTTTGGTTCATACCTTCATCACTGTAATTAGTAACTAGCTGTACCCGGCCACGCGTTGCTGTGGCTCAGTCTAACGAAATATTTCAATTCAAACGCAGATCAATCGACACAGCTCAATCCCACCGCCAATTGCACTGAAAAATAAGGAAAACAGGTAAGAAAACGAAATGAAAAACAATGAAAAATAAACTATACTCAGCCACTCTCAGCCTGTCGAGTTTGTTCTGTTGAGAACGAAGCAGATCTGAGGCTGCAGGATGCAATCGCCATGTTCACAACCGTCTGGCTGCACGTCGCTCTGCTGCTTCCTTGGCACGTATTTGAGCCATTCTTTGTCTCATTCGCTCGCTCGCTGATGCCCGTTCTTCCCCAGTTTGATTTGCAATTACTTGACGCCTTGCTTCCGCTCCACGAGTACGACGACCTAAGTTTGATCTTCCACGAGGCATTATTTGGATGAACTAAAGCAGATCGATTGCACTGAAGAAGAAGAAAGGAAGTTATAACAAAAACATATAAAATTGCAAAACATTAACAAAGGAAAGAACACAAACTGGAAAACAAAGAAACAAAAAAAAAATACTAACAAAATATTTCAATTCAAACGCAGATCAATCGATGCAGCTCAATCCCACCGCCAACTGCACTGAAAAATAAGGAGAACAGTTAAGAAAACGAAATGAAAAACAATGAAAAATAAAGCTGGACCATTTATACCTCGCGGATGCTATACAATGAGGCTTCTGTTGTCTATCACTGGGGAAACGCTGCCAGAGCCGAATCAAAAATTCTGTGTGCAAACTCAGGATCTCTGCTGTGATTTCACTTGGAATCTCTTGTGATACTTGTGACCTCGTGATACTGAACAGTCTCCAGACCTACACTCTCTTATACATATAGCCAGCGTTCGGACGGGATAGGGAATACCTTATCAGAGAGTTAGTTTCATCTGTTGCTTAGGAAATGCTAGCACAGAACACCTTGTAGAAGTGTTTGGTTTCATCCGTTGTTACGCAACGGAACCTCTTATCCTCTCATCTCCGGAGAAACGCGTTTGTTGTTTTGGCAATTCCCATGCAAATGTTATTGCGTTTCCATGGAAGTATACTTTCCGGGTTCACGCGTGGCCAGGTACAGCTAGTAGTATATAAAAACGCCCGTATTCGAATGAATGCAACGTTGTGTGAAAATTTCGAAGCAATCGGTGAAGAACTTTCGGAGATTTTCAAGGGCTAACAAACAACATTTACATTTTTATTTACATAGATTAGTATTATTTGTTACACCAATTGCATGAACATATATAAAAAAACACCCTTTCATATTCTAGTGTTTGTGTTTAAAGGGTCAACTGTCTGCTCAGCTTTCTTCTTTGACTTGCAGTGTGTTGACAAAATTATCATTTTTGCACGTGTGATATTATTAAAAGGACCAGGGACCACTTGTACATTCAACAGGATATTCACACCGATTAAGATGGAAGTACATCATGCTTCTTTGTTTTGTTGGGGTTTTCTCATTGATAAGTAATGACAAACAGTAGTGAAGGAATGAAATAGCTTACTATAGTATGAACCACGCAGCGCAAGGAACCACATAATATAAACATCACACATTAACCATTGGCTCCTGGCAACATGAAAGAAGAGTGATCTATTCTCTAGGAGAATGGTAATATTACGCTACTAGCATGGCAAGCCAATGCAGCAAACAGAAGAAGAAATTTGATGAAGCTTATGTGTGGTCTACTGCAGTGACAAACGCTAAGCTACTCGCAGCTTATAACATTTTGAAAGATAATTTTTAATTCTTTTTAAATATCAACTGGTGAATTTAGGTTCATCTAGTTATTAAATTAAGTTTAACTTACTATTATGTATACAACTATATCATATGTATGATTTTTATGCTGATTTTTATTATTTTATTGTATTTTATTGTTAATTTTAATCAATGTCTAATCTAAGTTTTTTCTAGGTTGTGAATTGAATAGAAACTAATTTGTATGAACCATTTAGGAAAATGGGAATGTTAGCATTTCAGTTCAGTAATAATATGCAAGAAACTTTCAGCACTTGAAGATGACCTGTTTTAGGATGAAACATGTAGTGTGCTGTATAAATAAATAAGTAATAAAGTATTATTGCCTTGATGGTAAAAATGTATGTTCATTGTTATAACAAGTGGCAGAATGGAGGTATTAAATTTTACTGCAAGGAAGTGGAATTGTGAAGACATTCTTCTCATACCCATTTATAACCAAGTTCATTTGTTCCCAATATGTTTTAACATTTTTTGTTCTTAACTTTGTATCCTAGTCCCAAAAGTGGTATTAATGTTCCATCTTCTGTAATGGCCAGTTCCTTGTACTATAAGTATATACAGTGAAACCTCAGTATTGTAAGACTTCATGAAATTTGGGGAAAAAATGCTCGATCTATCAGATACTTCTAAAGGTAAAGTTGTCCCTGTACTGCTTAATTAATTAAGCACAACACCATAAAGGGGTATAAGGTGTTCTTGACCCTGTGTCTAGGTGGGAATGAGTGTGAGCTTAATGTCCTTGCCACTCTACCCCTGGGGGAAGAGCCACCAGGATCCAGTCTGGATGCTATGTCATTGAGAAAAATCTCTTTCCCGTGCCAGGAATTGAATGCTGGCTGTCCAGCCTGTAGCCCCTCACTATGCCTACTGAGCTATCAATATCCAAAAATAGTTGAAATACAAAAGACAGGTCCGTCCCCTAGCATGTAATTGTGTATAGTGTCATATGGCACTGATGTTTGAATGATGATATGGGTGTGGAAATATTTCTCCTTTCTGGTAGTGGTTGTCATGGGGATGTATAATAACGAAGAATAATTCAACATCTTCTTCATTAGCACTGTCAGAGTCAAGAATTAAAGATTTTCTTAAGTTTACATAAAGTTTACATACGAGAGTGCAGTCATGTCGCTGATTCCCTCACTTCAATTTCTGTACATGCACACATTTATAGGAATACTGTAAGAAGATAACAAACTTACCGTGCTTTATAACAGGTGTTGGAAGTGACCCCTTTCTGCTTGCAAACATGCCTCGCATCATATATATAAATTATGCGACACTTTCTTAAGTTGGTCCATGGCAATTGAACTGATTACGTGTGTTATTTCATTCTGCACAGCTTCACTGATACAAGGATTATTCTTATAAACTTTTCCCCTTAGGTTTCCCCAAAGATAAAGATCGTAAAACCTTAGATCTGGGGATCTGGTTGGCCACAGTCCCCTGCTGATTATTGTCTTGAAACACTTCCTGTATTGCGACCATGGATGCATTAGCTGTATGTGCTGTAGCGTTGTCTTGCAGAAAATACCCATATTGGCTTTCTTCAGCAGTCAGGTGATTGAAGAACGGATTCAGTATATGATTAATGTAGCAGTCAGAGTTCACAGTTTTGCAGAAAAATAAGGGCCCAGTGATTCGGCGTGGACTTACAGCACACCACAACCCCTACTTTTCACTATGTAATGACACTTGCCATATAGCATGAGCATTTTACGCACGTAATTAGTTCAGTTGTCATGGACCAACTTCAGAAAGTGTTTCATAATTTATGCAATGTGAGGCATGTTTGCAAGCAGAAGGGGGTCACTTCCAACACGTGATATAAAGCATGGTAGGTTTGTTACCTTTTTACAGTATTCCTATAAATGTGTGCATGTACAGAAACTGTTGTGAGGGAATCAGTGACATGACTGCACTCTCACTAGTGGGGAAGGGTATGGTAGTTGTGGAGAAATGATCCATCTGCTCTATGCTAGCGAGAGTGTGCACATTTATCATCGCTGATGACTCATTCCGGTATTGGCAGTTACAACAGCAATCTGTGAGAAATGTATCCCACTCACGCTGCTCCCGAGGTTTCCTCAATGACTGAATGCCTTGTACTTGCAGCCAACCCCTTGTGTTGTGCTTCACAAGTGAAAGTCTTTGCTGCATTCTTGGAAGTCACTGCATAGGCATACTTGCAAGAATAAATTAGTCAATTCATACCAAAGTGGCCTAACAGTCCAACATAGGATGCAGCTTAAATCACACTAATACTTGACATGCGGGGGGACACGGTAGCATAGTTGGTTGAGGCACTATGCTACAAGCCGGAAGGTCGCGGGTTCAAGTCCTGATGAGGTCATTGGATTTTTTCAATTGACCTCATACTTCCAGCCGCACTATGGCCTTGGGGTCAACTCAGCCTCTAAATTAAATAATTTTCTTGGGGAGTAAAGTGCGGCTGGCGCGTAAGGCTGACGACCTTACTGCCATCTTTGAGCCGATTGTCTATATAATGTGGGACCCTCAACATCTCAAAACCCTATGGGCCTTCACGGCCTGTTACAGGGATAGCTTTACTTTCTACTTTTTACTAATACTTGACATGTGTACATTACATTCTAGATCGTTCTTAACGCTATGATTAGAATACAGTCATCTTTTTGACATTGTGTACATAAGATATGGTTGTGAAATAGGTATTATACCTAATTGCTTAACTGTAAAATGCATGCCACAGTAATAGAATGTAAACTGTATGTGAACTCATAGCTATTTCATTTTTCTAACCTAATAAGATTAAGTTTATGCAAGTTACTACACTTGTGATGAAAATTACTCTATAACATATGTTTATAGGAGCCATGACATTTTAGTTCCCATGCCCATGGCATTACACTGGTAGCACAGGTCTCGTCTCCTTATGTCTTTCACTCAGCCATAGAGTGAGATTGCAAAATAAGTTTCATCAGTATTTACTCAAGAGAAAAACTGTACTGAGGCAAGTTTTCACGTGGCATTTAAAGTTTTAACATTTGTGGTTATGGTAGTATGAAATTTAGGATTTGAGGTTTTTGCACTAGTGGTGTTTTACAAGTGGGGAAGTCGTGACCATCGTCACTAAAGACAAAGTGAGTTTGATGAGGGACAGACCTTTAAACATATGCATGTATAGTTGTAATCTGTGACTTCCAAAGCCAGTAGAAGTTCAGGGGAAGGGGTATTATATATGATAAGAAGTAGAAGATATGGCACAGTCCCTCTGCAGACGAGCCAAGTGACACAGTACACAATGTAAGAAGCTGCTGGACTGATGAGGAAATTCAGAGAATATCATGTGATGTACAGTTCTCAGTGGTTCAGACTGCAAATGCAGATGGTGCAGAAAATTAAGTGCAAACAGTAGTAGTGGCTTGTTATGAATTGCTTATTGTGTTGAAGGTGAATGTGGAAGTCATTTTCCTTGATGCTGTCAAATACCACTTGCGATTCCCTTAGGATGTCAGACACTGTTTCAAAATGTCATCCTGTCAGTTTCATTTTAAATTTGGGAAACAAAGTGAAATCACAGGGGCTAAGTCTGGTGAATAAGGAGGATGGGGAATGATGACGATGTTGTTTCTCGCAAACTCTGTGGTTTTCAGGAATGTGTGGGCAGGCACGTTGTCATGGTGTAGGAACCAGTTATGGTTACTCCAAAGTTCCTGTTTTTTTTTTGTTGCACATTTTCTCTCAGGCATCTCAAAATGTCACAGTTAAAGTCAGAGTTGACCATAGTGTTAGGAGGAACAAATTCACGGTGAACAATCTCCTTCACAGTGAAGAAAACAATGAGCATGCTCTTTGTTCAGCTCTGGACCTGCTGTGCCCTTTTTGCTCTGAGTGATTTTGAGCTCTTCCACTGTGGTGATTGTTGCTTTGTTTCTGGATCATAACCATAAATCCAACTTTCGTTACCTGTTATGATCCTAGAGATACATGTAAAAGTTGGGTCCTTGTTAGCTTTCTCTGGTAGCTCAAGACATGTTTATGAGTATGCACTGTTGGTTTTGTTCATATATGAAGAGTCGAGGAACAAACTTTGCAGGAATGCGGAGCATATTCAAGTTTTCTGTTAAGATCTCCTGGCAAACTCCATAACATCCCAGTGGTGTGTGCAAGCTCATGGATTGTTCAGTGACAATCTTTGTGGATGAGTTCACGATTTTTTTTAACGCTTTCTTTCATTTTGCTGGTGCTTGGTTGCCCTGAACGTTCATCATCTTCAGATGATACTTGACTGGCCTTGAAATGTGCGTGCCATTCAGAAATTGCTGTCTGGCTTAAAGAATGTTCTCCAGAAGCTTCACGAAGTATTTCAAGGGTTTCGATAGTGTATATGCTGAGCTTCACACAAAACTTAATGCAGACACTTCGCTTGATTTTGCCATCCATCACAGACAAAATGATAAAGAAAGTCGGAAAAGCACTCATGTAAAAACAGTATGTGTTCACAGCACATGGCAGACTGATGCAATAGTCTTGTGGAAGTGTGAGCTTGGCCTCCCCTCTCATCTTCTTTTACCGAGGTGGTTACAACAGTAACAGTCTGGGAAATTTCCGATAGCACCTTGTAGGTATCCCTAGTGGTTTCTTTCCTGTGAATTTCCCACCAAAATCCTATATACATTCCTCTTCTCCCCATGTGTGTTACATACCCTTCCCATCTCAGAGTCCTTGACTTGACCATTCTTATTATGTGAGTTATGAAGCTCCTCATTATGCTGTTTCCTCAAACTCTGTAGGGATCAAACTTGGTAAAGAATATTACATTGCATGTGTGACGAAATACATTACATATCTTCAGCAATTTCCTCCAATTTTCACAGTGTTACTGACCAACTGGGAAATATTGTAATAGTATTTTACCATATTATGATTATGAAAAATGTGTAAATTTACAGCATAGGAGGCCTTATATTAGACTTCACAGTATCAAACTTCAAGGGAATAGCAGTGTACCAACCTGTGATCAATGGAGTTGGGGGGAATCTTGTGGCAGTACAGGCCAGCCGCATCTCAACATCATTGCATCAAGATTCCCGCCTTGGAAAACTGCCTCATTACGCATCATCTGTTTGTCTCAACCCACTCAGTGTCTTCTGCAGTCAGGGTAAGACAGAATATCCAGAAGCTGACCTGTTGTGTTTGCAGCTGGATATTTACCTTTGCTGTTAATTTATACATTGAGTGCTCGCAAGACAATACGCTATCATATTATTGTTCCTTTTCTTCCACTTTTAAGACTCCTTTTAGCAATCGGTATAAGAGAGTTCTTGGATATGTGACTGTCCTTAACACATTACATATTGACGTGAAACTGGTGCATCTAGCTCATGTTCCCAAAACATTGAACAATCTGTCTATCTATGGCACTTGCAGACCTTTGCTTCTTTTTCAGTTTCTTAATCTATACATAGTTGATAAACTACTTGGATGGGGGATCAGCCCATCACAAGGCTGCTACCTACACACAGACATCCATGCCTCAAGTGGGATTCGAAACCACAATCCCAGTGTTCAAGCAGGCAAAGATGGTTGATGCCTTAGACCGCGCAGCCACTGTGATCAGCCACATTGAACCATAACCTGTGTGAAATATTGTACCGACCTCTACTTCATAATGCACAGTGTAATAGAATGTTAAGGGATTGAGCACCGTACTGACTGTGATGTTCTGTCCAAAAAGGGTGTGAAAGTTTGTGCAGCATGTGCACAGAAAAGAGAGCAGATGAAATAATATCACGAATGTGAAAATGATAAAATTTGAATGTAAACTACTCTGGAAAGTTCTAGCTTACAGTTCTTTCAGAAGCACTAAATGTACTGCGACCATGATGTATAATGATAGTGTCTGCTGATATGCGCTGTGTCAGAAACAAGACTTTTTTTAAATCAAAGCTGTATTGCATTTTATTAGATCATTATGATGAAGCTCCATTATGTTTTCAATACAGAGGTGTAAATGTTGATGGTCATGTTCATAAGACACTGTAAAGAAGTCTGTGTTTGACTGATGAGATGAGTTGGTGCTGCAATAAAGTATTTTATTGAACTTCAGAAGGTCTGGGAATGAAATCTCAGGGCAAGAATTCCTTATGGACTTCTCTGTTATTGCTTGATTACTCCAGGGGAACTATGGAATAGTACCCAAAAATAGATGTTCATCTCTTTTTTCCCCAGTTTATATAGGTGCATGATCTTAACACCATTTATTTTTTATTTTAAGAATGTTAATTACAGCACAGATAATGCGTATTTGATGATGTAGATTGGTCATGACATGTACGGAGTAGGTCTCAGTGCCTAAGATGTTTTCCCACCTTAAACACTAAAATAATTTGGTCCCCAAGTTACTTTATCCTTGTAACATATTATCAGAAGCTTTCCTGATTAAAAAAGCCCCCCCCCACATCAGACACTACAAAAGTAATGCTTTGCCATCATAATGCTTTTTTATATCTAAATGTGGGTAGTTAACTTCCCAATTGTGAGTCACTGCTTCAGTTTCCTACAAATGTGCAGGAGTGAGTTGATGCTGCAGCATAGATACTCACATGTTGTGTTGTAGCATCCTCATGTGCCGTGTCGACTTTTTATTTATATATTTACTGTCATCTCATTTCCAGCTCACACTGAAAGTTTTAAAATTCATTTTTTTTAACTGTTGGTTGTGTCAAGTTGTATTTCTTTATTTAACATATCTATTAAAGTCTGAAGTATACTTTCATTTATGCACAGCATCTATTGTAGACTGGAATATTTTTATGGTGATGTGTATATTTTCTTCCATTATGTCATGTGTAGATGTTATGAGCTTTTTAGTGATTGTTTTATACCTTCATGGTAATGTTATGTTGGGCTGTTAATTGTTGTGAATTGGTTGTTGTGTATAAGGTATTTTACTTTCGTTCATATTCTTCTATTGTGAGTATAACTACCGTTCTTTTCCTTTGCCTGTTTTTGTTATGGTGTGTTTATTTGCTGATATTTTGATTTTTATATGCTATTAATTTTTACTCTTTTTGCTCGTTATTTACGTAATTTTAGAGGTTGAACTTTTTAATGTTTTTTGTGATTACATGTCTATATTACTGTTGATCTACTGTATCAAGATTACTTATTACAGTCTCTGCTTCTAGAGCTAGTGTTTCTAAAAAGAGTTTATGCTTATATTGTAGGTTATATTTCAGCCCTATATTTAGCTCTTGTATTTCATCTTGTGTGAAGTGTATGTCTGTCGTGTTTACTACCCAAGAGTAATTCCTGTTCTCTTTTGTTATGTTTTATGTTTGGGATTTAGATAGGTTGTGTATGTCTTGTTGTTTTTGGTCTATTTTTTCCATTTTCTGTTATTTTTCATTTATTGATTCAGTGATTCAGTATTAATCCAAGTGTGTTGCCAGGTGTTTGCATTTTGTATGTGTGCATGGTAAAGTTCTGTGCCACACTGTTCTCTCTTTTTGTATAAGAACTTATTTCCTTCTTTATTTGTAATGTTTGTGCTTGTGATTTTTTGGCTGGTGTGTTATGTGTTAGTATCTTTGTGTTCGCATATTTTGGAACTATCTTCATTTTAGGCATGTTTCTTAACATTTGTGCTTTCATATAACATATGACATAACAGAAAAAACACATCACCACAGAAATATACCAGTCTATGAAAAATGCTGCACATAAATTAAATTATATTTCAGATTTTAAATTTGAAATCATGAAATTAGGAAATCATATCGACATGCAGTAAGGCAGTGTACAAAAGTGCAGCAATTCTAATTCACCTGATGATGGCCAATTAGGCTGAAATGTGTTGTGCAGTAGATGTGTTAAAAAGATCTACAACTTGGAAAAATTTAGCATTTAAAAAGTTTTAAATTTTGAATTTTAAAACTTTCTTTGTGCGTTGCACGTGATATGGTGGTGAATGTATGTGAATAAAAAGAAAACTAGCCCTCCAGGTTTACACATGGTTCACAAGGTACAGCTTCCTGGTCTAATACTATCGTATTCACATTAGTGAAATGCATTTCTTTCACTATCACACTTAGAACAATTCATTACACTTTTCAGAGTATATATGTAATGTATTTTAATAATAATTAACTAGTAACAAAGCACTGTAAGCAACCAGTATTGAACAGTCACAATAATGTGAATTGATTGCCATTGAACATTATCTTCAACAAAGCACACCAAAATTCAGCTTTGTAATATGAGACATTTAAAATGAAAGAATTTATAATAAATTTGAATAGTGTATGTTAAAAATACATATAGTGGGCTTGTGACTTACAAACTGCAGTATATCAGGCTTTGACAATGAATATGAATTGTCATCTGACAGAAAAGGATTATTGTATAAAATGTGACATTTTTGAGAATTATGACAGTGAATGTATTGAGAACAGTAAGAGAAAAAGCTCTGTTGAACCAAAGAAGAAGACATTTTTGGTAATGGGTGTGCAAGAAATGTTTGAGGCAGTGCATTGAAAGAGGAAGGATTGGTGAAACTATCAGACTCTTTTGGTGCAGGCACAGGGATTTTTAACACTTCGCAGACCGTCATTTTTAAACCTACTACCCTAACTTGTGCACTGTTCACTTTAAAAATTAATATAAAATCTCCTAATTAATTTAATGAACTAAAATTTTTGGAGAACACTTACCAGTGCTCCTAGAAGTGCTTGAGAGTGTGATATTTCTGGAAACATTCCCCTTTGTGAAGTGGCATTACACAGAACTTTCGCATGTAGACAGGCATACTCCTTTTGTTGTATGGGTCTTTGTCAGGATTATAAAAGACATCTATGAGTCAGTCACTGCCCAAGCAAAAGAACAGAGTACCCACAGCTTGCTTACAAGGTTTCGCTGTATCACCCTGTGGTTACGATTCAAATTTGTTAACATCTACATATGTCTTAACATCAGTAACATTGCTTAGCTCCCTCTTGTTGACTAGTTGGACAGCAGTCTGACCTGGTTTCTTTAGTTCCAGACAAAATATTGTGTGGTACAGCAAATGAAATTTGTTTGTTTTAAATATTTCACTGTTTTGTCCAGGAGGCCATGCCAGAACTGCAAGATTGCTTCTGATGATGGTTATTCCAGGCCATCTGATCTTCTCATATACAATAAGCTACCTCCAAGCTGGTCACACGTCGCTCACGCCTATCTTCGTGGCAGTGTACCTTGTTGCAGCTATCCTTCAGGCAAGTTAAAGCAAGATTAATGCTGAACATAAGTTACGATAATCATTAATGTGTTCTCTCAATAAAGTAACTGTATGTATTCTGCAAAAGAATTTTATTGCTGACCATTAGTGGGCCTGACATAATTGAAGTATTCTTCTTCTGGCACAGTTCACATATCCCATTTATCTTTTCTGTAATTAGTGGTGGATGCAGTGGAGCACAGGAGTTGCACAGTGACATATTTTGTAGGTACTAAATTAGAAAAGAAGAAAATTGTGATTTAACATTGCATCTTTGTTAGGTGACGTGAGAGTGCAGTTACAAAGTAACATTGCAGAATATTGCAGAAATTTTTGGTTGAACAAGTAACCAATCACGCTGGAGCTGAGCATTCTGAATTGTTTGTTACAAAGGCAATAAGTGAGTCATACAGAACTGATTTTTAATGTGGAGCTCTAGGGATTCATAGGTGCAGATATAACAGTATTCTGAATGACTGTGAGAATTAAAGTATGGGTCCTGCTGAAGAATGCTAACCATCACCTTCTTCATAGCTCATGAGTGTGCTGAAAGCTTTATTAGTGATGAGCACTGATGAATTGAATTAGCCGTTATGAATTATTTGGGCAAATGTGAAACTCTGTTGACAGTGAGTTAAAGAGCAGAGTGGTCAATATCAGGCAAAATTGCTAGGTTGCATAAATAGTAGTTGGGATACAGGATTGTTATGCCTGTAACATAAATACAATAAATAGACCACACGCTGCAGTCTTCTTTTAATTAAAATGAGATAAAATTCTTTTATAATTTGTTGTTTCACTTCACTCAGGGTGTTGTCATTTCCATAAAATATATTAAAATATTTTTCTTGCAGCTTGCTTAATTAAAAGAAGACTGCAGTGTGTGTTTTTTTAAAATTGAATTGGAACAGTGAAACAGTGTAGCAGTTTTAACAAGGTCTTGATTGAATATCTGTAGTAAAACACATGAAGATGGCCCTTTGAGGCCGAAACATGTAGTGTTAAAGAATATATTCGAGTTAAAACAAGTGTTGCAATTTAGACGGATTATAGACAAATGGACGCTAATCTGAACAATTGCAACGGGATGCTGAAATACAGAATTACCAAAATATATTGGTTGGTCATGTTATTTTCCATTTCCCTGGTTGAGGTGCTATGCTACAAGCTGGAAGGTCGCGGGTTCAAGTCCCGATGAGGTCATTGGATTTTTTTCACTTGATTTAATCCTTGCAGCCACACTAGGCCCTGGGGTTTACTCAGCCTCTAACAGAAATGAGTACCAGGAATTAATTAAATAATTTTCCTGGGCAGTAAAGCGTGGCCGGCGCATAAGGCTGACAACCTTACTGCCATCTTTGAGCCGGTTGTCTAGATAATGTGTGACCCTCAACATCTCACAACCCTATGGGCCTTCATGGCCTGGTAGAAGGATAGCTTTATTTTTTTACTTTTGCTAATAAAATTATGTTTCCCAAATGTCTGTAATCATGCAACACTTTCCTGCACATGAGAAAGAACCATAGCAGTGCTGTGATTACAGCAGATGCTTTGACTGGCAACCAGTGTGTAACTCTCCAACATGTTTGTAAGTAATTTGCACAGATAACAAACATTATGTGGAATGGCAGTGATCAAAGGTTATACAGAATTATAAGATTCAACAGTGAATTTTTGTAACTAGTCTGTAGGCTGGGCAACCTCAACCTCTAGACCAGATTAAGGTCTCACCCTTCCTCTTATCCAAAGGATACCACGAGTTTTTCCCTAAGGGTGGTTGAGTGGCAAGGGCATGAAGTTGCCCACTCATCTCCATCTGATTCCAAGGCTAAGTATACATATAGCTCTACCTCCATTCTTTCATGCTTCTTCATTATGTGGTACTGAATTAAGCACAAAATAGTTTTTCTTTTACTTTACATAAGAAAATGTACAGAAAGTGCATTCTGTAATACCCACAAGAATGAGTTCCCACAAAGTCATGTGTATTGAAGCTTCTCAAAAAGTGATAAATCATGGATTCAGTTTGACAAGAAGGAAGAATCAAAGTGGAATCTTCTAACTGAAGAGAACGTTTAAGATATTAAGGCATGGCTAGAGATAGGTCATCACAAATTGTTTAGACCCCCGGAGGAGGAAAAAGGTATTTCACTGGGATCTTCATTCACAACAAAAAGACTAATGCAATTTCATATGCCAGGACTTAAGGAACCAGATTATGCAGCAAGAAATCAGTGTTGTATTTGGTTACTACAGAATGTGCATAATGAAGTAATGGACCCATGCTGTTCGCAATCAGTGACCATAGTAGTCATGTCAGTATGCCCAAAGTATGAATGTGGAAGGAAGACAATTCTCATGCCATTCACCATGTGCCATAGCACAGTGTAAGGGTAGTGGTGTGCTGTGCTGGAAGTGTGCGTCAAATAATGGGCACCTGTACTGTGAATTCTGATCAGTATGCAAGCAACATAGTGAATTTCTTCAGAACTTCTGAATCTGACACAAAACTCATATATGAGCTGTGAGGCATGCTTGAAAGTAGAAGGTTAGTTGTAGCAATTCATGTAGAATATAATAAGTTTGTATTGTGTTTTTGTAGTAATCAGAAGTGAGGTTCTGTTGAAGTAGAGAGAATAAGTGTCACATGTAGGGAAACCCTCCGTTTTGCAGTAAACTACACCATGTTGTCACAAGCAGCTCATTTCTGTCTCAGTTGAACAGTTTGAATATTCAGTGGTACTAGTGTTTTCACCTCATGAGGTGACTTGCAATGGCATAATTTTCACGAAATATTCACGAGTTTTTGCATGGATAGACACATGCAGTTAATTAATGTTTCCAAGGAAATAACTCAGCCCTGAAAACGGCACTGTTATATAGAATTTTGGTGGGCACACAAGAAGGAAAGGAACCACTAGGAAGGCCAAGACATAGGTGATGGATAATATTGTGGTATGTAGATCTGTTGCTAGGTGGCAACCACGAGATAGGCGACTGGACAGTGGCTGTTCCTAAGCAGCGTCCTGCAAACAGCAGCAGAGGAATGCTGTTTTCTGTGCAGTGCACTAAGCAAAAATTGAACAGTAAGAGAGGAATGATTTTTTTTATGTGGTCTGTGCCATGATATTGTAAGCAGGACAGTTGGAGCAGTGAGTGAGTTGTGAGGCAGACACCAGCCCTTGAACTACATGGGCACAGCAGAAGTGGACAGTGTTGAATCTGGCGCCAGGCAACGACTGGTGAAGACACAGCAGACAGAAGACAGTACGTGCTGTAGTGAACTGGAGAGTATATGAGTTAGTGATAGCGATATAGCTACTTGTAGTTACGATCTGTAAGCATTCAGTAAATCCAGTTACCAATCCAAACCCCATCTATAGTCACTATATCATGTGAAGATATTAAAATGGACCATAGAGACATATGGTGGTATGGACTTGATTGATCTGGCTCAGGATAGGGACCAGTGGAGGGCTCTTGTGAACACGGTGATGAACCTTCAGATTCCATACATAACTGGGAAGTTTTTGAATAGCTGCACTACTGGCATCTTGTCAGGAAGGACTCAGCTCCATGAAGTTAGTTAGTTAGTTAGTTAAACAGCACTGTTGAACTGTGGTAGCTAACAGGGAAATTAGTTCAAAGCAAAAATAAATTTCTAATTCATGAAATGAAGAAGTATTCATATAAAATTTGTAAAACCTATGAAGGAAAATGTTTTGCTTTGTATAGTTTTTTGATAACATGAGCTTTTTCTGAGAAAATGGTTGTCAAAACCTAAGATGATTGAAGTAGACTGACGTTCTTGATTAAGAGCTTCTTTAATCATTCTGGATTTTCCTAGTAGCAGTAACTATGATTGTGATGTTTCTTTGTGGCATATAGTATAATTCTTTAATCTATGAAAATAAGTGGAAAATTTTAATTGTGAAAACATGCTTTAAAAGGAAAATGTGACACTGATATGTTGGGATTTTGGACTTTATCCATCGTCCTGGTTTTTAAGATAACAAATCTTAACAAACAAAATTTTAATTGTGAAAACATGCTTTAAAAAGGAAAATGTGACACTGATATGTTGGGATTTTGGACTTTATCCATTGTCCTGGTTTTTAAGATAACAAATCTTGTTATACACCATCGTCAGAATCCTATAGTAACTACTTAGGAAAATATGAGTTTTAAACTTTTGATATTCTCATATCTGCAGTGCTAAAATTTCTGGAAGCTTTAATTTTGGGAGTTGGAAGAGATCTGACTGAGTGTTTCTCTGGTGACAGGTCTTTATGCTGCTTTACATCTGCCAAGTAATGATTCACTGGATGTGGACACATCGTATAGATCCTGACAACTCTGCAATCCCATATCTCACGGCTCTGGGTGATTTGCTGGGCACCAGTCTGCTTGCTGTTGCTTTCAAGTTCCTATACCTGGTGGGAGACCGTGATAGTGATGTAGGGGACTGAGCTACTCTGTGTTTGATAGTGTGCATAATATGATTTTTAAGTGATAATTTGTTTCTATACCTAAATTGTTTTGTTTCCAAGTCCAAATGTGCCATTAATATTTATCAGTTTGAAATTATTTATAATAATATGATTGGATTTTAAATGAATCCTTAATATTTTTATGGCTGTGGAATTTAATTTTTAGGGAAAAGAAAGACAATCATATACCAGTAAAGGATGCAATACAGACAGTTTACCTGGTACTTTAATTAAACTCATTAGTCAGTCAAGTTTAGAGTGTGATACTTTTTATGAATATTTTGACTTGTGTTTTTTTTGTGAGAAGTGTCCATACTTTCTTCTGCCGGTCCAATGATTTAGTCATGACCCATTCCAAGGCTAAAGGAATTATTGTGCTAACTATTGCATCCGTCCAATAAATTCCTTTAGTCTTTCAAGTACTGTAATTTCCCATGAACACATTACCAGTGTCTTGCAGGCTGAGGTCACTTATGGCACTGCTGTCTGCAAGTTGTGCGACCCAGCATGGTGTATTATCACCCCACTTGCCTCCTTCATTCACTCTACTACTTAGTTCTTCACTTCATGCCTTCATCACTACCCCACAAGGGTTGCAGCTGCACGTAACATGAAGTACCAGTGCTGATATCAATCGTGTGTTTTATCTGTCACAACACACTGAAAGGTTTATTTACATCAAGTGTGTACGATGAGTTTATTGATCTCGATGGTGTCCTACTACATGTTTTAGCTTACGGAAGCCATCATCAGGCAGGTATACGTTACTAGCTATTCTCAAACTATTGAGTTGCTTTCTATATAGGCATATGTTACAATATTACAATTATTGCTAATATTTTTAATTTCTAGCATTCTGTTAAATTGTTAAACTTATTGTTTTTCTTATATATATATTGTGTGGATAAAAACTTAACTGGTATATACAAATGTTCATGCAATGGCATAAAATATAACAGTAGATTTAAAATTATAAAATAAATTACAAAATAAAATACACTTAGATATTATGTTGCAAACATGATGTTATAATATGTAGTGGTTGTTGCAGTTGCAAGTCAGTTTCAGACTGACTGTTAACAAGATTGGACAGTGAAATACAGAAAATAGAGGAATATATAAAGTAAAAAATCAGACTAGAAATAACAGTGTACATCATACTGACTGGTTCCTAACACACAACCATCTCATAGGAAAACAAAATTGGAATAGAACATTATCTGTAGACCACTACATATTGTGATGTGGATGGCGCAACGCTCGGTAAACAGCCCCCCCCTCTGCGGTGACGTAACAGCATAGGAGTCGCTGCTGCTGCTACGGTAACAGGCCAGTAAACACCCCCTCCCCATGGTGACGTAACAGGAGATGCCATGGATACTATGCAGCAATAAAGAACTCGGCAGTGTTTCCCAATAACGCCTGTAAACACGGCATTTATGCAACAGTGAAACGAGGTGGGTTTTCCGCTGTCTGACTGACGATTTATAAGGGAGACTGGAATGTGTAAGGAGTGAGTTGAAGTGTAGCAACCGCCGAAGCCAGTTACTATTTGGAGTATGAGTAGAAGGCTAGCAGCTTTGGAAGAAGCAGAACCGAATGCGTGGTAATCAGCGATAGTGTGCGATAACTGAGAAGTCAGCCAGTGAAGACTTATTGTTGTCACTTCAAGATTCTGTGTGTACTGTAGTACAGTTATATTGAGAGTGTGTGATTATGAGTGACAGAAAGTGTGAATTGTGAAGTCACCGAGAGCAGTGGAAGTCCAGCAGCTATGAGTTGAGTTGTATTGAGTGAATGGCAGTGACTACAGCAGGAGAAGTAATTGTGATACTGCAGATGGCAGTAATTGAGAAATTGTAAACTGTGTGAGTGTAAGAGCAAATGTGGAATAAATTTGCTAGATCCAAAACGGCGTTAAGTTATTTGTTGTGCAAACACCCAACACACAACAATATTATAACATCATGTTTGCAATGTAATATTAATTTATTTTATAATTTTAAATCGTTATATTTTATGCCATTGTATGAACATTTGTATATATTACTTAACATAAAGTTTTAATGTAGACAATATGTATGTAAGAAAAACAATAGTTTTAGCAATTTAATGGAATGCTAGAAATTCAACATATTAGCTGTAATTGTAATGTTGTAACATGTACCTATATAGAAAGCAACTAAGTAGTTTCAGAATAGCTAGTAATGTATACCTGCCTGATGGCTTCCATAAGCCAAAACGTGTGGCAGGACACCATTGAGATCAATAATCTTGTACACAGTTGATGTGAATAAATCTTTGAGTGTTGTGTAGTGATGGATAAAACGCAAAATTGATATAAGAGGATGTATTTCTTGAAGATTACCAGTGCTGCTATTTTCTGTAACCCTGGGTTGGTTCCCTAAGCAGGTGCTGCCTCCCAGGGCCAGGAGGACCTGCAACTTGTCTGGTCAGGGATGCTACCCCTTGAAGTGTGGTTGTCTCCAAAGAGAGCTCATGCTGACAACTCTTTGTACCTGTATAAGTTTCTAATTAAGTAATTTTCTTCCAGTACTTCATATCTGATTAATGAAATGTTGTCAATAAATGTGTACAGTTCATTTCAAACATACGTGGTGTTATTTGGCATTTTTTCCTGGAAAAAGAGGTTGTGGTACTTATGAAGAAAAATATATGACTCTAAGTCCATTTTTAGTATTTTATTCCTTAGAGAAAAGAGTTCCAATACTCTATACTATTACATATCACCAGAAAATGGGCACTGATTTGCTACAGTTTAGTTACACTTTGCTTCGCATGTTGTAGAAAATATATGCGTAAGACCTTTGCCTTGTTGGTGACACTTTCAGACAGATAGGGGACAAATTCAGAGGTCACATCCATTCCAATAAACCATTTGTACTTGCTTGGAACAGAATTTTAGGTTTTCATATACAATAAAAGTTGTGATATATGGCACCTCCAGGACCAAAGAGTTACTGGATGTAATAAGTTTTTAGATACTAGAATGTTATACCTAATGCATAATCTTAATATACCAGCCAACCTCATGGACTGACCTAACCATCTAATAAGACACTTTATATCTTGGACTGTTTTCCCTGCCACACTTTCTATTTTCTTTTCATTACTACTAGCATAACATGATGTATATATAAACTAATAAAACCAACAAAACACCAATATTTCACTCTTCTAGTTATCATATTTATAGTCAATTTCCAGTTAAGAGAGCTTTTTGGATCATGCAGTGCCAGTCATCACAGCTTTTACTGTATATAGTTTAAGTGACTGTATTTATGAGAAGGAATGGCTTTGGTATTTTCACTGAATGTGCATTTCACATGTACCTAAACCTGGAAACATTGCTGTAGTATTTATTGGTTTCATGTATGAACTGACAAACACCAAAGACTAAAGTGTGCTGGCATCAGAATCTGATGTGCACCAGGCTGAGTTAGACAAACTGCAACACAGAATGGATTTGTAATACTTTCAGCCTTTGAAGAATAATGTTGTATTTAACTGAATTTGCAATTTATCCAAACATTGTCACCTCCATAGCATTACATTTTGTGGTGGCTGATGTGACCTAAATTGTGGTGCACTGCCAAAATAAAGGTTATTTTATTACCATAAGATGGCACTGATGTAATGGCTCAGAGGTAATGTGATGTTTCTATGTTTGCAGAAGATGATGAAAGAAGAAACCAAACTGAAAATGCAGTTTAGGTTTGCGGAAAGTAGAGTTTTAATTCAAAATCTTACTTTGAAAAAAATTACATTTTTTTCAAAGTCATGGTTGCAAAAGTTCAAGAAACAGAAAGGTTCTTCCCTTCATACTTCCATTACACAGTAATTGCAGTCTTATTACCAGGACCTGGATTTTGATGATGTGACATCTTTTTTCCCTTGTATCCTATGTGATATCCATAAATATATAAATCCCAGAGATGAGTTGCTTGTTACAGACATGTAAATTTTTAGGTAAATATTGATAATTTTTTGTCATTTTTTTCAGTTTTGGGGCAATTTTTCAGTAAACTTCTGGACTTTTAAGGGTATTTTTTATCATTTTAGGGAACTTTTCTTAACAATTTTCTGAAATGTGAATAATATTGAAGTAAAGTGTTGTTTCTCTTTCTCCTAAGCGCTCTCTAGAAAGGCAGCCTGAAGCTGCACCCCACGTACCTGCTACGACAGTATACAATAAAATGTAATCCTGTCCTGCTCTTTCCGTTCATTTTGCTGCAAGTGCTGACAATATGTATCATAAAACAATTTAGGCCAGCAACAGGGTAAGATGGCGATTATATCACTGCAGCTCTTTTCAAGTTTTATGCAAAGCAAGTTGCTTAGTTACAAATATTTCTAGTCTGAATCTGTCACTTCATATGACATATTATTATTCAATAAAACTCCTTCTGTTTTCAGTCTCACCCTTGGCTGTACAGACAGATACAGTTGATGAAAGGTTCTCATTGTGAAAAGTTCAGTTTTGTCTTGTGCTAGAGTGATTTATTTTATCACGATGCCTAAAGCAAAGCCATTTGAAGCAGATTGTAGTTGAGTTTGGAGGTTATATATTTGTAACTGACTTATGCTATAAGGTGTGACACAAAAGTAGCGGCAGAAAAAAGTTTACAACAACATATCGGCTGTGACAAGCATATACAAACAGCACAAATTTTGAACAAAATGAAATCTGTGCAAATATTACTGCAACAGTGTTCATCTGAAGGTTGAAATAAGTCAGTGAATTTTTTCAAAGATTGGCTTGATGCTCTGGTGTCCGCTGATATTTCATTTTGGGCTCTGAACAGTGAAAAACTGAATAATTTTCTGGAAGTGAATTATGGACATTACATCCCAGATGAATCCACCCTCAGGGAAAACTACCTTTTGAAGTGCTACAACAATATCCTGGAAATGATTGGGAGTAAAGTGCATGAGAAGATCTTTGTTTCCATTGATGAGACCTGCGATACAGAGGCTCACTTCATGGCAAACGTCATTATTGAAACCTTGGAAACTGATGGATCAGGTGAAGTGTTTCTGTTTATGAATGAGGTGCTAGAATCCGGTAATCATTCCACAGTCTGTAAACTCTTTTGACAGGTTGATCTTTCTACTGTGGTGAGGGTATACGACATGATGTCTTGCTTTTTGTGACTGATGCAGCCCCATATATTTTAAAAGCATGCAGGTCAATAA